CCCCCCCCCCCCCCTTTCAATTCCCTATGACATCCTCCCCAAGCTTTTACTAATAAACAAATGAATTTTGGAAAAAGAATCAAATACAAAGGAACCCTGAAGAGCATATCTTGAATAAGTCTCCCTGAAGAAATCTTTTTTCCAGAAATCATTTTTCAATGAGAGATGTTTTTAAGACATTTCAAGCACAGTGGACCAAAAAGAGATACTCCTTGAGTTATGACCAATATGGAGGAGCCCTAGATCGACAAAAGCAATGCACTCACCTCATAGCCCACAAAAGATGCCCAAGTATTCAACTCCAAGAGGTCGCAGTTAATACAAATAATGGTGATGTTTCCGCTCTTAATCTTAAGACTCAACATCATTTCAAAAGACAGTAAGGTATTCATGTTAACAAAGGCAATAACCTACGCATAGCAAAAGAAAAATTATCATCTACAAGCAAGAGGTACGAAAGGTAAATTCTCACACTTCCCACAAAAAAGCCCTTCATACAACCTTCATCCACATCAGTAGAGGCCAACCTACTCAAAACATCGACCACTCGTATGAAGAGAAAAAGGAAGAGTGAGTCAATCCGCCTCAGAACCCTAGAAGAATAATCCTTCCCTCTCAGCTGATTGTGGAAGTCTACATTCCTCACGCACATTAGTACATTCCATTGGGTTCATGCTTCCAATTTTTTCATGATCACTTTCTTTTGTCATTGGCCGTTGGAGGAGTTGTGTACTAGTTGAAGTTGTGTGCATTTGTATACTTTCTATGCTACACGTCAACTTCAAATTATCACATTGTAAAAAAAATATCCAATAAAGAAAGACATTTGACAATAGCCAGCCAAACATACCCATTTACATAACTTCTCCCATCATCAATACATATCCAAACGAAGACATTAAGCTACGAGATTATGACACCAAGATAGACAATTAAATATTTAAATTTTAATACCTTCCTGGCTGAATGGGGGGCCTGGATGTGATGGATTTCTCCCCCCATTCATCCATACACCTTGACGATTTTCAGTTTTGAATTCACTTGAAGGCATTCTCCATTGTTCATCACCTAAAAATGGCCTTCGGCCATCCATAAGGGATGGCGAAGAAAATGATTGATGGTATGGATGGGGAGGATGCTGCTGAACGGGAGGCTTAGCATAAGAGAAATGAGTGGGTGGGTTTTGAGGTGGGCCAGAATGCATCTGTCTTTGAATAAAGTTTGGGTTACCTTGCTGATATTGCTGGTTTGGTTGAGAAATTTGTGCATTCAGATATATATCATTATGTCCATACTCTGATTGCCTCGAAGAATCAAATCCAGACGGTTCGATAGAACTGCAGACAGGAGCTGGGACAAAAGGAGGTGGCTGCTGGCCATACATTTCACTCTTACCAGAAGCATCCACGTGACTCCCATGAGAAGCATTTCCAGCCATCATTTGCACATGCTGATTTCCCTGTAGAAAAGACACGCATACTAAGAACTACTATACCCATACAACAAATTTTCAACAAGTATATTGAATCCTTACACTAGCTATGTTGCAGTATTCACGGGGTATTGAAGCTTGATAAGGAAGCTGTCCTGAAGGCTGCTGTGAAGATTGAAGCGGTAATATCTGCTGGTTTGGCAATGGAGGATGACTGGGTACTGGAGGTTGGGAAATTAATGGTGGTGGAGGCGGTGGAGGGCATGCAGATGGTAGGGGAGGAGGTGGTGGCAATGACGGAAGTGGTGGAGGTGGTAAGGGTGGTGGTGATGGAGAGGATGGAGGTGGGGGTGGGGGTGGTGAAGAAGGTAAGGGTGGGAGTGGAGGAGGAGAATCAAGAGGTAATGGTGGAGAACCATCTGGCAGAGGGAGAAACTCTGAAGAAGTATTTGAAGCAAGTTCTGTTGCCCTGTCTGAAGATTGATGTTGAGCATCTATTTCAAAAGAATCACCTCCCTCCAACGACTTTTCATCCTTTGGATGGCCAGAAACATCTTCCATTTCAAGTTCCCCATCCACATCCTCTAAGATGCGATGACGCCTGTCACTCGGGGTAACTGCACATGCTTCTGCCTCTTCAACACCATGCCTTGGTTCTGTCAAAGTTGCATCACTGGCTTCTTTACATGGGGAGGTAGGAAGGTCCTCATCTTCGTCCTCAAATACATGTGAAGATAAAAACCCAGGCAGTTGGAATGTTGCATTGCTGAGACAATTCCAGAAAGAGTCACAAAACAATTGACAAAAAGAGAAAAACAGAAGGAATGTCACATAAAATCACATTTCCATTTAATTTTATTTTGGTTTTTACAAGATACAAAATGTCAGCAAACAAGCTTGTACGTCAGGAAGGGAAAAATTATGTCCACCCTACACCAAAAGGCCAAGGAAGACTATCAGAAGACTTTACATAAGAAGTTCCTCTGATTTCCAACTCAACATGATCCACTTGAGACATAACGGTACAATCGAAATACAAGCCCATAGGAAAATATAGCTTGAAAAATAGGATAAGAAAAAATGTTATTGGTGTATGAAACCTACAAAAATATAGCATAGAATAATGAAAGTAAAATCACAAGAACGAAATAAAAGAAACTCTTCTGCCATACAAACCAACAAAAGTAGGAAAAACATATGGATACTAGATAATCTGTCCAGTAAATGGAAGAGAACTTCTTAATACACCCCTAAGGATTGAAGAAAAATTGGCAATATCAATGACAATGTTCCTAATAAATTGAAAATCGGGTACTGTGGCCAGGAAGGGTCAGTGTTGCAACCTATCGTGACATTTTGTCAACATCCAGAAGTTACCACTAACAAGTTGAGAATATCTAGCTTGAAGGAAAAAATCTTTTAAAGGGGAACCAAAGGAAGAGCTTGTGTATCTAGTTGGAATTCCATAGAAGAAAAAAAAAAACTTTTTTGTCACTGCAATCTTAAGGGCTTTTCAGAAATGGAAACCTCTATTGGACTTCGGTCAAATTAATGCCTGGCTGTCCAATCACTCTATCTATATCTATGTGTTTAATGACTTCGTTAAGCTTTTGTTTGAACTCTTATGCTGGAGAAAAACAACAAAAAGGGAGAATAGAGATGTTTCCAGTCCTACGGGAGCTTATACTTTTTGTAGTTTTTTTTTTTTTTTCTTCTTTTTCTGTTCTTGTTTCACAAGAAACAAATTGCATGATATGTAATTTCGAAAGAGGGGGAAACCACCATCTAACTTCTCCAATTGGATAAGTGAGTAGTAAAGCTATATTGAGTTTTCATCATGGTGCAAATTACCCAAATGTTATTGTAACTTGCTTCATGTTCTCTCCATGTTAAATGGAAAGTATTCTTAACTTCCTTACCTCAGGAAGCGGATTTCCTCCCTCTTCTTTTGAATATTTAAAACTCCCAATGAAATAATTTCTTGGAAAAAAAAACAAAAGACAATAGCCAAACAAAAACAAAAGCCTTAAAATTCCCAGGAAATTCTAACCAAGTGAAAGCAAAATTTTCATTGAAGGGGAAGATCTCCTCAACTTACATACAAGATTATTTGAAAGATACAAGCCAAGAAACCAATCAGAAGATGTACTATTAATGCCTTGTACCTAGGCTAACCATTACCAAATTCCATACCCAGTATTACACAAAACTAGATGACCAGATGCTTCAGGAACACAGTTCTTTGTTTTATTTTAAAGGAAGAAAAGGTAAGGGTGAAATAATATTCATGGAAATATGATATGAAAAATTAAATATAAATAATGATGCTTCAGGAACACAGTTATTTGCTTTCTTTTAAAGGAAGAAAAGGTAAGGGTGAAATATTATTCATGGAAATATGATATGAAAAATTAAATAATAATAATATAAGGTGGAAAGTTGAAAGTGACGTGAAATTCAGACCTTCCATACTCATCAACAAGCATGCCTTCCATTTCTCTGATTGGATCATCTATGGCTCTCTCAGCACGAGATGGACGTCTGAGGGTGAAACCAATAGATGAATCCTCATTTGACACTCCAATTTCATCCATGTAACGTCGAAGAACAGATTCGGGTAAGATTTTCCTCTCCAGCCAGAGACGAAGAACCTGGAGAGAATTCCTCAGGAAATATATTCAAAATTATTTCAGCATGATCCATACACCTGTAAAGACAAGTAAAAATAAGCACCTTGTGACATTGACGACGATTTTCACGAGCTCCAGCACCTGGTGGTGCAGCAGCCCCAAGAAGGCGTGGCAATGCTGCTTGAACTGTAGGAATGTAAGAAGCTCCAGCAATACCTAATATCAACATAAGAAGAAATTATCTTTTTGGTAATCCAATGGAAGCTGCTTTTGATACTCCATTCATCAATGAAATTTTCTTTTATAAAGATTTAAAAATAAGAAGAAAGATGCCATGGTGAGAAGTAGAAATGAAGAATTTCATAACATAAACATAGAGGTGATGTGTATAGCATTCCCATTGAGGTCACTTATACTTCTAATAAACCTATCTTATGTGTGTCTACCTCTTTGAGTATGCGAGCATTGTGTTATAGAATCCACAAGAAAAAAGAGATCCACTTTGCGATGAAAACTAGATTCAGACTCCAACTTCCGGATAAGAAGTTCAACAACCTGCAGATGGATACACAGTTAGACACTAAATCTCAACGAGGGATTCTTCCAATGGCCATCTAATTTGCAAATGAAAGCTTATATAGACTAAGTCATTTCAAAAGCCAAATCCATTCCAACAACCAGACAAAATCATTTCTTCTCCCTCTCTCTCTATATATAAAGCTTTTTCTTCTCCATATGGACTCGTAATTATATAACTCTTCTTAAAAATAATAATAATAATAAAAAAAAAATCTTTTAACAACCATCCTAACAACAGCCTTTTAAACCAGGATAATCCAACTCCCATTAACAAGCATTTGAGTCGCAACCTACCTCATTTGCAATGCCATATCTGGCACAATCAATAGCCAACCGAGTTGCACGTCCTATACTTTCTTTAGTTCTAGATAAAGTCTCTATCATTCCTTCAAAAGCATCTCGTGCAACAGCAGCCTCAGTGCCACCACTTAACGGATCTCCAACAGATCTGTGTACTGAGTTGACTCTTTTCTCCTCTATTTCTTCAACATCAGTGTCATTTTGTGACGCTAATTGATGTCCTTGAGTTGATGGAGAAGCCACATCCTTCTCATGAAAACGTCCCTTCAAGTCTGTCAGCATCAAATGGGTGGTACTAGATAAATGCGGTTGGACTGGAGTAGGACTAGGACTACCATGGACATCAGTGGATAAAATATCAGGATTAAAAAACCCATGGACATTGTGTGAATGAGCTTCCCTCCTTTTAGCTTGAGCAGCTGCAATTAGATGCTTCATGGACATGGCAGATTCCGTGACCTTGAAATCACTGACTAAGCTTCTATTTATAAAAAAAATTAAAAAATAATAATCAATTTAAACATCATTTAGAAGTTGAAGCTTCGTCTCCATTTAAGCAAAGAAGGGGATAATTAAATAACAAATTTTGATACCTTTCACCGTGAAAATCATCATGATCCATTGAACTTCCCACCATGATTGTAGGGTCATTAGCTCGTGATTTTGGAGTAGCTTTGGACTTCTCTCCTGAAGAATGTGACCTACTCTTTTGAAGGATAGATGGCTTCTGAGAAGAGCTGGGAGTTGAAGCCAAAACCATGGACTTCACAGAACCCACCTGTGGTTGTTTCTGGACACCAGTATTGGAGGCTTTGATTGGGGGTTTCACAGTCTTCGCTCGATCCAAAGCTGTAGTGCTATTAGCTAACGAAGGAGACTTGTTTGGGGAAATCAAATTTGGTTTAGCCTCCTTAGGTGGCAGCTGCTCATATCCTGATTTTGAAGGACTTTCAGAGGCATTAGCAGCCAACGGTTTTTCTTGCTGCAATTCTTCAGTTTGGGATTTTTTAGGAGACGAGGACAACCTCTGCACCTGACCAGTTGATTCCTTAAAAAGTTCGTGCTCTGATCCACTAATTCCATTTACAGTCAAGGGAGAAGTAATAGGACTTTGATTATGCTCATTGTTATTGTTACTAGCATCTGGACCATTTGAAGTTGCATCAATATTCCATGACGATCCATGAACCGGAGTCTTAGGATCTTCATCATCGTCATCAAAAATGCAAACTGCTCTCCTTTTTCTATTGGAATGATTTGCCAATAGTTTATCACTGCTAGAACGTGAAGCATCATGCCTCTGTGAGAACGGACTCTTTTCATTTTTAGCATCATGAACGGCAGTTGTAGAATCAGACATAGCTTCGAGCGCTCGACGATGTCGCTTTGTCAGAGGCAACACAGTTTCATCACCAGCTGCAGAATTAACAGAATCTGAACGGTGACTAGATTTTAAAAGGTTTTCTGATTTCAGACTGGCCTTCGACTTTTTCAACTCAGATTTTTTAACCACTTTTTCATCAGCCACAACAGGTTTAGTGGAAGAGGAAACCTTTATGTTGTTTCTGGGTGTTCCCTTACTCTCCCCTATTTCTCCTCGCTTCAACTTTTTGGCAGGACGCAAACTTTCACTTGATCCCAAATCAGATTTTCCTGATCCAACCTGAAAAATCTTCCCCGCACTGGCTTTGCCTTTGCCCTGACCCTGTTCCTTAGGGTCCTTAGGACTGCGCCTGGTGTCTGCAACACTATCTCTATCCTTAAAACGTTTTTTATCCCTTGGCGGGTCTTTAGTCTTTTTCCGATGACCAGACTCAGAATTTGGTTTCAGAGTTCTAGGGCCATGTTCCCTCATACCTTCACCAGAAGTGGATTTTCCTTTCTTTCCACTCTTTGAGTCCACAACAGATTCTGGAAGATTGAGACAATTATCAGGAATTTCGCTCTTAGATGCTGTTACAGCAGAGCCTTTTCTCTTGTGGTGTTTAGCAGTGCCCTCTTGTTTCTTCTTTGAACTTGCACCTTCCTTTTTAACATTTTGACTGTTGGTCGTAGATGTATTCTGAAGTTTGGAAGGCTTTTCTGTTTGAGCAATATCTTTATTTGTTTCAGATGTCACTACTTCATTCTTTTGTGCAACGTCTAGTATACTGCCGTTCTGCTCAGAAGAAATTCCTAAAGATGAATCATCAGACTGATGTGGTTCTACGGAAGGCTTCATGTCTTGAACATTAGTTTCATCTCGTTTTTGTGAACAACGCTCAAGTCTAGAGCTACAGTCACCCATACCTTCATTTACATCATCGTCATTTGATTCTGCAGTACCCACTTCATCCTTCAAGTCAACATCTAACTCATTATCTACAACCCCATCAGTGCAGGGAGCACCACTTTCAGTTTCCAATCTTTCCACATCAACGCTCATTCCACTATTTTTCTCATTTTGTTTTTCATCAAAAGCTGCACATATTTCCCTCACAGCTTGAGCAAACTGAGTTGATTTCCCTTGGCAACGAGCAGATAATTTATTCTTTTCCACAATAGTGAAGGCCTGAACGTCAGCAGGGGCTACAAAAGCTCTGTGAATTTCAATACATGGATAAAAATATTAAGAAGTGTAAGGTATATGTGTGTTCAAAGCATATGATTCACGAGACGAGAAAAAGATACAAGTATATTGTGTATTGTAGCATACAGGAGGAGATAAAAGAAAAACCTACAAGGAAAGAATACACGTAGATGGGGCAAGATGAAAGAAAAGAACTGAAAATATGACCCATTAAACGATGTCAACATTTGAAAAGAATATGGATAATGTACACAGATCATTCTAAGTTAAATTTAGCCATCAATAACAGAGAACGTGGAAGAGATTATTTTAAACTTTGTACAGTTAGAATAGTGTACTTGACAACAAATCTTGACGCATCCCAAACTATACACGTACAGAAAGGTAATTTCAGCAACCAATAGTTATAACTTATTGTTCGAGTGCAGCAATTAAATTCCCGGAAACATTGACAAAGTTACAACTTTTGCAATTAAAAATATAAAGAAAAGAATAAATAAATATAAGCAACCCTGCGCCAGACAATGCATGAAGGAAGCTATTCTCAAGCACCTTTCCAGGCATATGCACAAACTAAGTTTTTGCATATGAGAGAGAAGGAGAAGCATATGCACATTTCAAGCTCAAATTAAAACAAAAAACTAAGAAAGAGTTACTTACATTTCTAGCGTTCCAAAGAAATGGACAAAACATTTCTTCGGGTCAGGAGATTTTTCCCAGTCCTCGGGCCTGCTAATCTGTAAACATAACACCATCATACCTTATAACTCCAAATGACTAAGTAGTTATCCATGCTCAACTTAATTAAGTTTTATCTTTTTATAAAAAATAGCGTAACAATTAGCTTACCACCCAAAAGAAATGCTCTCTCTGACCCAACACTCAGTAAAATAATGGCAAGAACATAGGACAATTAACGCTTTTCTTTAGACCTTAGTAATTAAACCTTCTAGTAATCTTCCATTTTTTTTTTTTTATAATGAGAAACTAGAGCCCTATATTGTAATTTACTTTTTCGTGGCTCCTTTGCTTGGTTATGGTTCCAATTTTTCTTCTGCCTCTATTTTTTACTTTCATTTCTCCTAATGAAAGCAAACTCATTGGCCCCAGTAAGGGAGCGCATGATTATGCACCGATCCTAGTTCATAACCGTATACCAAAAACAAGACATATCTTCACATGAGATTTA